TTTTTTGATTTATTGTAGAGATGAGATCTTGCTGCCCAGGCGGGTCTCGAACCCACGGGCTCAGGCAATCCACTAACCTCAGCCTCCCAACAGCACAAAATTACAGGCTGAGCCACCAAGCCGGCCAAAATGATCTTTCAAAAGTCCTAAGGGGCTGGGCTCAGTGGCTCAGCCTGTAATCCCAGCACTTTGGGAGGCCAAGGTAAATGTACTGCCTGAGCCCGCGGGTTTAAGACCAGCCTGGGCAACTTGACGAGACCTCATCTGTACAATAAATCAAAAATTAGCCGGGTGTGGTAACACACATCTATAGTTCCAGCTACTTGGAAGGCTGAGACAGAAGGATCACCAGAGCCCAGCAGGTTGATGCTGGGATGGCCATGAGTGTGCCACTGCATTCCAAAAAAAAAAAGTGCCAGGTGCTGTGGCTCAAATCCGTAATCCCAGCACTTTGGGAGGCCGAGGCGAGAGGATTGCCTGAGCTCAGGGGTTTGAGACCAACCTGGGAAATTGGTGAGACTTCATCTCTACAATAAATTAAAAAAAAAAAAACTGGACATGGTAGTAGGCGCCTGTAGTTCTAGCAACTTGGAAGACTGGGGCGGAAGGATGGCCTGAGCCCAGCAGGTCGAGGCTGCAGTGACCATGAGCGTGTCACTGCACTCCAGCCTGGAAGACAGAGTTAAACTCCAACTCAAAAAAGTCCTAAGAGATGGAGACGAAACAACGCTGATTGATTTGGACCTCCCAATTAAGGAGATGAGGTGTTTAGACAGTTTACTGGGGTCTTCAAATATTAAAATGAGTTTAGCTCTTCCTATGGTCTTGCTATGTTGCCCAGGCTTGGGTACAGTGCCTGGCTATTCCCAGACGTGATCATACTTCATTACAACCTCAAACTCCTGGACTCAGGTGATCCTCCTGCCTCAGCCTCTTCATTAGCTGGGACTACAGGCACATGCCACCACATCAGGCTTAAATTTTTAAATCATTCTTGAGTAAGGCTCAAAAGCTTATAGCTTACCGCACTCAGTGGCTCACACCTGTAATCCCAGCACTTTGGGAGGTGGAGGTGAAAGGGTTTGACACCAGCCTGGGGAATTTAACAAGACCTTGTTTCTACAATAAATCAAAAAATTAGCCAAGCCTGGTAGCACATGCGTGTAGTTCCAGCTACTTGGAGGAATAAGATGGAAGGATCGCCTAAACCCAGCAGGTTGAGGCTGCAATAGCTGTGAGCGTACCACTACACTCCAGCCGGGTCGACAAACTCCAACACACACACCAAAGACATTAACGTTATCTATTTTGTTTTCCAGAGAGATGGCTGCCCAAAGATTGTCAATTTGGGGAGCTCTAAGACAGACCTCTTCTATGAACGCAAAAAATACGGCTTCAAGAAGAGGTGATTGGTGGGTGGCCCCTTCCCCACCCCATCAAGCTGCTGCAGCTGCCAAAAAAGACACCGCCTACTACCAGCAGAAAGGGAGTGGAGCCCAGAGCATCACCAGAATTGCCTGCTAGAGTACTGGCACCTTGCCACCCTTCTCTCACCCAGACATGTAATAGGGATGGAAAAGGATTCTTCACAGAGCACTCTGGCAGATTATATCAGAGAAAAATTGATAAATTAGTTAACCTTTCTCTTGAATTCAAGAAGGCTCTGTTCTCCATATTGGTGTGTTCTCTCTACACCAAGAGCTTCTAAAAAGTAATACTATTTCAGTCTTACGCTTGAGGAGTTGACTGTGAAGCTATGCAGAGAAAAATGTGTTTTTGCAGCAGGTCTGATGGCAATTGTCCTTGGAAACCCTCGGTGGGTGGGGAGCTATCAGAACAATAAATGTGGGCATTTAATCTTATAACGCCTACCTGGTGGTGTTGGATTCATGTTATTTGCTTTCTGAGAAATAGGAAACCCTTTCTGTTGCTGTTATAGTAGTAATTAAAGTTGGTGTTTATTTTCTAGTAGTTGGTTACTGTCTCCATTTAACTTTATAGGAATTTATTTTAGTCACCCAGGAATTTGTGATTCAAAATAGAGGTAGGGCTGGGCATGGTGGCTCACCCCTGTAATCTCAGCACTTTGGGAGAGGAAGCAAGAGGATTGCCTGAACCCAAGGGTTCAAGACCAACCTTGGCAACGTGGTTAGACCTCATCTCTACAATAAATCAAGAAATTAGCTGAACATGGTGGCACATGCCAGTAGTTCCAGCTACTTGGAAGGCTGAAGCAAAAAGATCGCCTTAGTCCAGCAGGTCAAGGCTGCACAGGCCATGAGCATACTACTACACTCCAGCCTAGGGGACAGTGAGACTCCAACCCCCCCCAAAAAAAAAAACAGGTAGTTGGATTCATTAAGCATTTTGTCCTCTTATTACTACTGGAAGGAATTCAGAATCACCCATTCCTTTCATTAAAGGTGGATCAGAGTTATTTTTAGAAACTAACTTTTAGCCGGGCTCGATGGCTCAGCCTGTAATCCCGCGCCTTTGGGAGGCTGAGGTGAGTGGATTGCCTGAGCCTGTGGGGTTCGAGACCTGCCTGGGCAACTTGGTGAGACCTCATCTCTACAATAAACAAAAAATTAGCCAGGTGTGGTAGTACGCGCCTGTAGTTCCAGTTGCTTGGAAGGCTGAGGCGGAAGGATCGCCAGAGCCCAGCAGGACGAGGCTGCGGTGGCCGGGAGCGGCCACTGCACTCCAGTCTGGGTGACAGAGTGAGACTCCAACTCAAAAAAAACAGAGAACAAACATTTTTCCTTCTTGTCTAACTTTAATTTTGAACTGAAGAAATGGCTACCAAAAATGGTGGAGATAATGAGAAAAAAATTAAATTGAGTTAGGAAGACAACTTTGATTCATTTCATAAGGTACACTTTGTATTTCTTCTTTCTTTTGAGTTGGAGTCTCACTCTGTCGCTCAGACTGGAGTGCAATGGCATCTTCACAGCCTCGACCTGTTGAGCTCAGGCAATCCTTCCCATTTTAAGAAGGTATATTTTTGGTAGTGTGTTGTGGCTCAACCTGTAATCCCAGCACTTTGGGAGGCCCAGGCGAGAGGATTGCCTGAGCCCACACGTTGAGACCAGCCTGGGAAACTCATCTCTACAATAAGTCAAAAATATGGGCATGGTGGTATGTGCCTATAGTGCCAGCTACTTGGAAGCCTGAGGTGGAAGGATCATTTGAGCCTAGCAGGTCAAGGCTGTGGTGGCCATGAGTGTGCCACTCCACTCCAGCCTGGGCAAGAGTGAGACTCCAACTCAAAAAGAAGGAATAAAGTATAAAAGCCTGGCAAACAGTTGCCATATAACCCAGAGAATGCACACACTTTCTGCCACCCCATTCTCTGCACTTGGCACAGACTCTTTTCAGTTCCTCTGCTGCTGCTTTTCTTTCTCTTTTTTAAATCTGTTGATTCCTCTATAGTTCTTGTGCCCCCTTACATTTTACTCATTTAATTCCTACTCATCCTTCAGGTTTCAGCCAAATATGTCCTCGAGGATCCCTCTACCACTCCAGGTCTAACATAGCATCCTATGCTTGTTTGCTTTCTTTTAAAGTCATGAATCTTGACCGGGCTCAGTGGCTCAGCCTGTAATCCCAGCACTTTGGGAGGCCAAGGTGAGTGGATTGCCTGAGCCCGCGGGTTCGAGACCTGCCCGGGCAACTTAGTGAGCCCTCATCTCTACAATAAATCAAAAAATTAGCCGGGCATGACAGCACACACCTGTAGTTCCAGCTACTTGGAAGGCTGAGGCGGAAGGATCGCCAGAGCCCATCAGGTCGAGGCTGTGGTGGCCGGGAATGGCCCCTGCACTCCAGTCTGGGTGACAGAGTGAGACTCCAACTCAAAAAAAAAAAAAAAAACTCGCCTACTAGACCATGTTCCACAAGGGCAGGAAACAAGTCTGTTGTGCCCAGTAGGTAGCAGGTGTTCAGTACTGAATGAATATGGAGTCTAGGAAAGTGGGTAAAAACCAGCTTTGAAGGATATGTCGGAACCTACAAGCAAAGGGGGAGGTGGGCAGATAAGGGCATTTGTGTGAGAGAATCAATCTATTTGAGCAAAGTTAGTCTTGAACAGGGTATGTGTTTGGAGAGCTCAGAGCACTTGTAAAGCATCCAGGAGGGGGTTACTATGGTTTGAATGCTTCTTCCCTTCAAAACTTATGTTGAGACTTAACCCCTAAGGTAGCAGTATTGAGAGGTGGGACCAAGCAGGGGCAGTGGTTCACGCCTGTAATCCCAGCATTTTGGGAGGCAGAGGCAAGAGGATTGCCTCAGCTCAGGGGTTCGAGACCAGCCTAGACAACTTGGTGAGACCTCATCTCTATAATACATTAAAAAAATTATCTGGGTGTGGTGGCACATGTCGGTAGTTCCAGTTACTTGGAAGGCTGAAGCAGAAGGATCACCTGAGTCCAGCAGTTTGAGGCTGTAGTGGCCATGAGTGTGCCACTGTGCCACTGCACTCCACCCTAGGTAACAGAGTGAGACTCCAACTTAAAAAAAAAAAAAAAAAAATGGTGGTGTGTACTTGTAGTTCTAGCTACTTAGAATGCTGAGGCTGAAGGATTGCCTGAGCCCAGCCAGTCAAGGCTGGGATGGCTGTGTGCATGCCACTGCACTCCAGCCTGGGCAACAGAGTGAGACTCCAACTCAAAAATAAAATTGAAAAGAAGAGGTGGGACCTTTAAGAGATGATGGGTCATGAGGGCTCTGCCTTGATGATTGGATTCATCAATTCATTGTTTCTTATTTATTGTAGAGACGAGGTTTCACCAAGTTGCCCAGGCAGGTCTCGAACCCGCAGGCTCAGGCGATCCTCTCACCTTGGCCTCCCAAAGTGCTGGTATTACAGGCTGAGCCACTGCCCCTGCTTGGTCCCATCCATTCATTGTTAATGGATTAATGGATTATCATGGGTTGGGGCTTTATAAGAAAAAAGACATGAGCTAGTACACTTGGCCCCTTTGCCTTGTGATGCCCTGTGCCACCACCTTGGGACTCTGCATAGAGTCCCTATCAGCATAAGGCTGTCACCAGATATGCCCTTGAACTTGGACTTCTCAGTCTTGCCTATATTTCTTATTTATATATACATATTTTTATTAAAAAAATTTTTTTTTTGAGTTGGAGTCTCACTCTGTTGCCCAGACTGGAGTGCAGTGGCTGCTCCCGGTCACCGCAGCCTTGACCTGCTGGGCTCTGGTGATCCTTCCGCCTCAGCCTTCCAAGCAGCTGGAACTACAGGTGCGTGATACCACGCCTGGGTATATTTCTTATTTAAAAACCCAGTTTTAGTCAGGCGCAGTGGCTCACACCAGCCAGGTCAACATAAGAGAGATTGCCTCTCTACAAACAAATTGTAAAATTAGCCAGGTATGGTGGTGTGCGCCTGTAGTCCCAGCTGCATGGGAGGCTAAGAAGAGAGGACTGCTTGAGCCCAAGAGTTCTAGGCTGCAGTGAGCTGTGATTGTACCATTGCACTCTAGTCGGAATGACAAAATGAGACCTCAACTCAAAAACGTTTCAAGTATTTTGCTATAAGCAATAAAAATCTGACTAAGACAGTTATGGTATGTCAAAAGAAGTACAGACCAGATCATTTTCAGATTATAATGAGAAATTGTCTTTGATTCTATGATAACTTTAGTTTTAATATGTAATATGAGACAAAATATTTGGTTTTGCAAAAAAATTCATTTTTTTCAGTTTGTGTATCAGCCACCCTGGTTCACACAACATCTTGCATCTACAAATGTTCAACTAAGCTACTCCTTAGTTTCAGCAAAACAACACCTTAACTGTTCTCCATCAGCCTCAGTGTGATTGCCTGTAAAAGGCCTTCCTAGGGACTTTAAGTTATGCCCTAGCCGGGCTCGGTGGCTCAGCCTGTAATCCCGCGCTTTTGGGAGGCTGAGGTGAGTGGATTGCCTGAGCCCGTGGGTTCGAGACCCGTCTGGGCAGGCGAGACCTCATCTCTACAATAAATCAAAAAATCAGCAGGGCGTGGTAGTGCATTCCTATAATTCTGGCTACTTGGAAGGCTGAGGCGGAAGGATCGCCGGAGCCCAGCAGGTCGAGGCTGCGGTGGCCGGGAGCGGCCACTGCACTCCAATCTGGGAAACAGAGTGAGACTCCAACTCAAAAAAAAAACAAGAGTTATGCCCTGAAGGATCTCAAAGTGCATACCTCTCTCCACACTGATCGGCAGTGGGGCAAGTTCAACCTCAGCCCAGTGAATCCCAATGAAACCTGCTCTTCTGTCATCTAATTTCATAATCCCATTTTGGGTCTGTTTTCTGTCTAATAATCAGAGGCCAAGAGAAGAATAAAATACAAAGAATAAGGACACCTGAGATAAATTAAAAGGTCTTGAAGTTCAGATCTTTGCTTTCTGTCTACTTTGGACTTTAGGATAATTCCTTTTCAATTATAAAAATTACAGGGAAGCTGAGGTGAGTGGATTGCCTGAGCCCGTGGGTTTGAGACCCGCCTGGGCAGCGAGACCTCATCTCTACAATAAATCAAAAAATCAGCCGGGCATGGTAGCGCATGCCTGTAATTCTGGCTACTGGAAGGCTGAGGCGGAAGGATCGCCAGAGCCCAGCAGCTTGATGCTGGGGTAGCCATGAGTGTGCCTGCCTGGGCGACTGAATGAGACTCCAACTCAAAAAATAAATAAATAAATCAGACCAGTCTTAAAAATTACTGTTGTGGGGGGGGGAAGGGAGATGGAATTAATGGTAGTAAATATCTGTCTGGGGACGGGGAGACACCTCTTATCAACAAGGGTGCCTGAACGAAGCATATTTGTATACCTAACCCTTAACTGTACCCCACAATATCATAATAAAAAATGTTGATTATTAAAAAAAAAATTACTGTTGTTCATTTCTGTGTTAAAATAAGCACTACCTACATAGATTTAGTTGAACTCAGTCTGAGAAAGTCATTCCCTCCCCTGGACTTATTATTATTTCTGTTATCATTATTCATTTAAGTATTCAGTATTTGGCATGTATTCAGTTCTAGGTTCTAGAAAGGATGAGTGTCATGCTACTTCCAGCTTCTCACTTCTCAAGAACACTTTGTATACACATGGCAATATAATCTCCTTTAAATATTGCACTTAATATTTAACTTTTAATATTGTACTTTGGCTCCAAAAAAAATGTAATGAGAAATGTGTGGGCCTTATAATCAGACCTGCCTGAATTCTGCTCTGATACTTTCAGTAAGTCATTTATCCTCTCTGTTTCTGGATAGCAATGCTTACTTCTTCAGGTTGTGAAGATTAAATTTGCCTTTGTAAGTGCCTGGCCCTTACTGGGAAGCCTTTATATAAATGGTATTCTTTTACAGTTGGCCTCCACTTCATACATAAATGTAAGTCCCATGGTTTTCCTTACCTAACTTCTCTCTGTGCTTCTCACTCCATCAGGCAGTTGAAGGGACATTTCCTGGAACACTCCCTGTCTTCTCAGCTATCTGTTTCCTTTGTTTGAATACCATTCCACCTTCACATCAACTGGCCAACTGGGGACTTCTTCCTTCCAGGCTCCTAACATCTCATGAAAACTTCCAGATGCACCATACCATACAATTTCTGTCATTTGCATTATTTCTTTTTTTATTTTGAGTTGGAGTCTCACTCTGTCGCCCAGACTGGAGTGCAGTGGCCGCTCCCAGCCACCGCAGCCTTGACCTGCTGGGCTCCGGCGATCCTTCCGCCTCAGCCTTCCGAGTAGCCGGAATTACAGGATGTGCTACCAACGCCCGGCTGATTTTTTGATTTTTTGTAGAGATGAGGTCTCGCTGCCCAGGCGAGTCTCGAACCCGCGGGCTCAGGCAATCCGCTCACCTCAGCCTCCCAAAGGCGTGGGATTACAGGCTGAGCCACCGAGCCTGGCTCATTTGCATTATTTCATGTCTAGTACCTACATACAACAGAAACAAGTTTCATGAAACAACTTTTATTGTATGTATTGTACTCTGATATTTCATTTTAATTCATTCTAATCTAAAATTTCTGGGCCGAGTCTAGTGGTTCATGCAATCCCAGCACTTTGGAAGGTTGAGGCAGGAGGAGCACTTGAGGCCAGGAATTTGAGACCCACCTGCGTAACATAGCAAGACCCTGTCTCTATAAATATATATATGTATTTTGTTTGTTTGTTTTGAGTTGGAATCTCACTCTGTCACCCAGAATGGAGTGCAGTGGCACACTCCTGGCCACCACAGCCTCAACCTGCTGGGCTCCAGCGATCCTTCCGCCTCAGCCTTCCAAGTAGCTGGAACTACAGGTAAATATATTTAAAAAAAATAATAATACAGCCGGGCTCGGTGGCTCAGCCTGTAATCCCACGCCTTTGGGAGGCTGAGATGAGCAGACTGCCTGAGCCCGCAGGTTCGAGACCCGCCTGGGCAGCAAGACCTCATCTCTATAATAAATAAAAAAATC